ACAGAAGTGCTGTATCCAGAGATAAATGACGGATCCTCTCCACCCCTTGCCACACAGAGACATTTAAGCTCATTTAAGTTTCTGCCTCTGTAGAAGTCAGCCAACTCTAACCATTATTTCATTGCCAGGTTGTCACAAAATGCCCATGCAAACCTTTCCACCAAGAACTAATAGTCAGTTGCTGACATGATATTCAGTTCTTCTGCCATTAAGGAGCCTATGCAGGGGAAAAAAAAACTGAACCATGTTAAAAGGTCTAAAGAAAATTCCATAGCCAGCAATTTCATTTCATTATGTACAGTTACAGCAAATAGTTCAGTTGATGTAATAAATAAAAGGAAGAGATTTCATGAGATTGTCTCAAAATGTCACCAAAAAAAAATAATTCTAGGAAAGTAACTTTTTTTTTTTTCCCTAAAAACCTATTTTAAATAGTTTTACTTCTAGTTGATAATAACCACGGCACTGTAGGCTGACACTGAGTCTGCTTCAAACAAGTCATCATATATACCCACCAGTTTCTTAGTGGCAGCTTCTCATTCAGGACTGGGTCATTAGTGTTCAGTGAAGGGAAGGGAAAAAAGATTAATAGAGTGCAAGAACAATAGTGAGAGCAAGCATGCATGTCCATGCTTTTGCACATGCATTTTATGAAGGAGTGGAACCAGGCCAAAACTAATTTTGGGTTAAGTCTTCTTTCTTTGTCAGGGAGATGAGACCTCAATCTGCTGTCAGCTATACCTACTCCCTATTCCCCCTCCACCCATGGAACCAGGCTGAGCTCAGCTACAGGAAATAAGTGAATAAAAAGCCATGTATTACTTAGGTTTCATGATACCTGTTTATTCAGCCACAACAGTCTACAACTGAATGAAACATCACTAGACAAATACTACAAGTAAATTCACAGAACTGAAGAGCAGCTGAAAGGATGGAATCATGTTTTTTTTTCACATTAGTATTACATACATAAAATACTTGAAAAGGCACCAGCTTCAGTCATAAACTTGTTTCCATTACAAATATGCAGTGAAGGTGGAACATTTAAACTAAAATTACATACAAAATGGCACTCAGAAAATTCTGGGGAAAACGGATACAGGAAACATGCAATATCACTGTTAATGGCCATGCTGGCTCCTTAGTACAGGGTTATTGATGAGCTAACGTTTTGTCAGTTGAGGCAGTAGCAGCAGAAGTTGGCGTTTTTATAGCAAAGCAGTCTTGTTTTCCTTAGGCAGATAAATTGAAATCACTGACACTCAATGCATGAGTGGAGGTGACTCTTATGTATAAAGACGGAAAGAGATCATAAGTAAAATGAAGCCTTCACTAGGAAGCAGTGTGCCATGTAATTTACCACAGTTCAGTAGTAAAACACAGTGAAAAATTAATAATACTTATTTTCCAGATTTTAGCAGTTTGCTTGCTCTTCATTTCCCCATTTACAATGCTCTAGTGCTGGTTTAGGCACTGGCTCAGCACAACAGATGACCATGTCCTTAACTGCTTTGCTGAACAATTATTTTGCAGGACATAAATAATGTTAAATGCTTTCTTCCAAGACAAACGGTGGTGATAGCAAAGGTGCTCCCGTGACTTCCAACCCTGTGTGGAAGGATCACGGGACCATGCACCATGGAAAGAAGTGGTGCAGCCTATAGCTGAGCTAATAAAAGCAGCTGCTGGTGACTCTCCTTGGCTGTGCTCACTTGCAGCAGCCAGGAAGGGGGTTTATAACCTTCTCTGCCATCTAAAGAACTGAGCAGGATATCCTGATAGATCTTTGGAATATTATGTACATTCACTCTTTATCCCTATAAAGCAGTAATTCCTGTGACAGGGTTAGGCTGTGCTCACTTTAAGGCCCCTCAAACAAAGTCATGTGAATCCACACTTTGTGTTTAACTTTAGCTCTCCAGGTAAGAGCAACTTGTCTCCCAGGGGCACTTCCCTTAGTGGGGAAGGGCAGGGAAAGGAGAGAGATTAGGAGGAAGTTCTTTACTGTGAGGGTGGTCAGACATAGGAACAGGCTGCCCAGCAGTTGTGGATGCCCCATCCCAACCATTCTAAGATTCTCTGATTTTATGATAAAGTCCAGACAAGACAAAAATTCTTACCTCAGAAGAGGCCGGTCACTGGTGACAGCTTGAATAGGACCAAGAGGCAACTTTCTGGGGCCTCACTGCATTTTTAGGCTCTGTTAAACCACTCTAATAATGCAAATACAGAAAATGTCTTCCATACTTCACATGCCATCAGGAGGAAAAGAAAAAGTTCCAGCACTTGAAAGGATGCTCTCCTTTCATCACAATGACCCTTGTATAGATCTATCATTCAGTCAGTAAAGAATTAATATATTACTATTGTGGAAATATGCATATTTATTGGAAAAGAAAGCTTTAAGTGCTACCTTTCTTAGTTTGCTACACATTTTATAGGAGGACTCATCCTGTCAGTCACTGTCTCACAGGAGAAGGTTCCAACACATCTTTTCCCCATGTTCTCCTCTCTGACTGGCAACATGACCGTACTAAAACTGAGTTATTTGCAAGAAGGCAGAGCTGTGGGAAAGGTCACCCATTCCTGGAGACAAAGCACTTCACCTGCCTGAAATGCTGTGAGACTTGCCACAGTTCTTAAAAAAATTCAGGTTTGTTTTACTCTTTAGCTCTAGCTCCAGTCTCGAGCAGAACTTGAGCACGATTTTAACAGCATGAGGAAAAGTTGGGGCCTTTTTATTTCCCTATTTTAATTTTCTTCTTTAAACCCATGGCAGTCGGCACTCCTGCATGAACCACATTCACTCACAAACATCCCAGAACTGCAGCATCATTTCTTCAAGTAGAAACAGCCACCTCCAGCCAGGTCCCAGCAGAAGGTGGTATACAGCAGCACAGTGAAGGAAAGCAATAAACCAGCCCTGCCCTCCTCACAGCCCTCAGTTAATTCATGCTGAAACTGGAAAAGCCTCCCCAGAATCGGAATTGAAAAGCACTGTGGCAGCTCTGCTCAGGCTTGGCAGGGACATGGATGTGCTCCACAGCAGGAACACAGCACGTGAGAGGGCCTGTAGGATACAGACCCATGAGCAACCCAACATCTCAGGAGCCAAAGGCACCCTTGTTCAGTCCTTGTCACACAGCACCCTATTTATAAACCGTGCTGTTTTAGAGATGTGCGCCTCCTCGTTGTCCAAATACAACCACAGCTACTTTAATCCAGAGTCAACAGCGACTGGCTTTTGCCCATTTTAAAACAAACACTAGTAGTAACTTTTAATAAAAGTATACTAACTGAGACAAAAAGTACGTGTTAAAATAACATTTTCCTATTTGCACTCTGCTAGTGACGGCACATATTAATCACAACACATGGCGCAAATCTGCAGCATTGTCCTTTCACAGTCAATCCAGAGAAAATTTCCATTTAGAAGCTAATTTTTACAATTTATACACACTCCTTCCCATTTTCCTTTCCAGAAGATGTTTGTTTCAGGATTGTACATAGGTTCAGCACTTCTAATGCAAAACAAAACCAAAATGATCACTTCAACCTTTCTTTGAAAAACTGTATTAAACAGAAAGATTGCACAGGATAGGAAAATCAGAGAGAAAAAAACAACAGGCACAGAGGCCAGAACATGATCAAGCCCAAGAAACACCAAACCACATTTGTCTCGCAGGAAAACCTCCCTCAGAATGAAAGTACCACTAAATTCCAGACTGTACTCTCATTTTTTTCCCTTCTCTGTAGTAAATATGACACTGATTTCAAAGGGCATGCTATATTACAGTTTCTTAAAAACACTAAAAAGGTAACCAGTAAAAATGTAGACCACCTGCAGCATCTGGTATAGTACAAGATCAAAACAAGACAACAGATTTGTGCAACTTACTGAAAACTTTATGCACCTCCTATAAAAAATACTCTCCTTGGCTTTAAAAAAACACCAAGATCAAAAGTTTCATTAATATTCCAAGGAGGCAACTGGAAAAAAGTCCCTAACCAAAAGACTTATTGGCTCAAAACAGACGTTTGGTCTGATCCCAGTTTATTTTCTCCATACCTGAAATGCCCAGAGAATGCATGCATTACATTTGAACATATCCACTTAGCGTGATTCTAGCTCACATCAAAATGCAATGTTGGCAGTTGCCAGACTGAATGATGCCATTCTGCTCTACACTGGGGCCTACGTTGTTTTATTTTCCTTAGTGCAGCTTAAACACATGCAGAAATCAGTGAGGCGGGGGGGGGGGGGTAAACCCACGTCTTCAGTGAAACTCAAACAAGGCCTCACACTTGCACAGTGAAGGAAGTGCCAGGACTGTCCCGTCCCTGCTCTTTGAAGCATCCAATACAAGATATGAGAAGGCGCTTTCTAAACAAGCAAGCAGCAAACCTGAGGGCAGCAGGCAAAACCAAGTCCCAGCTCATGCTCCAGTCCACTGCCTCCCCCCTGCAAGATGGCTGCAAGAGGTTTCGGGTGGGCAGGACATAATTCCACAAGCAAGTCCAAAGGGGAGGGAAGATGGTTTGTTTATAGCTGATTTCACAAGCCCAGATCAGCAGATCATATACAAATGCAAACAGTTAATATTCACAGAGCAACCTCTCGTACCTAATTATTATAATAGATATAACATCATTAATAAATATGTAAAACAACATGTTAATCTCACAGACAAAACACATTTCAAAGGTCAGCATTGACTGAAATATCCAGGCAGTTTGGTCTTCTTTAAAGCACTGAAGAATTATACACAGATAACAATGTGAGTGTTCAGAGCAGGCTCACAAAATACAAACTTAAGCTTGGTTTAACAATTCTGAAAAGGCTCTGATCTGGTCTTAGAAGCTATTCTGAATGGCCTTCAAATGAAGGCCCTTGCAGCCATTGCGTATTTAAGAATAGAAGAAACTCCTTTACATTGTACATATCTCAGCACTTTATCTATATCAGCAGCAAAGCAGGATTACCCAGGGACCAGCACACAGAGGTAAGCTGGATTCAGTGATCCTAATGGGTCCCTTCCAACTTGAGATATTCTATGATTATGATTCTATGAAAGAGGAAATTGACTAGTCATCACATAAAAACCTTGGTCTGGGAGACAGAAACGTAGGTGCTCACTCCTAGTCCTGACACAGATAACTTCTGTCATCTTAAACCAGTCCCTTTAGCTCTCTGTCACAGTTTGCCTGGCTCTGAAAAGGAGAGGCAGTAATTCCGTGTCTCGCAGCACTGTTCTGAGGCTTAATTTCATAAGGTGCTTTTGAAGAGTCTCCAAAAAGGCACTGTTAAAGTGCAGCTATTAAAATGTCAGAAATATGGACAGAAGCATGCATCCCACAAGCCTTTCCCAAGATACCGATGTGCAAATCTAGAAGAGATGAGGACTCGCACCAGGTCACACTTCAGTAGTCCCAACACAGCAGTTTTGTTTTCTCCCATAGCTTTGAACAAGCATCACATCTCCAGGTCTCAGCAGAATTACTGGGCTGCCGCATTCCTCAGACTGTCTCCAGTCTCCATTTGTTCTAACGGGCCAAATTCGGGATGCGTGGCTGGGGACTTCCTTTGCCCTCGGAGAGTGTGTGCATTCAACATCTCCAGCAGCAAGTCATACACTGGGACCACATTTTTACACTTCATGCTCAGGAGATGCTCCATTCCCTTGTTACTGTGCAGGAGAACAGAAAATAAGTCAGTGATCTGGGTCCAACAGTGTAGAGAAGGAAACACGCCTGTGGCTTCAAGAGAGACCTTTTTTAATTAGGGGTTAAGAAGTTTTGCTGCTGTAGTCCCTGAGATCACTTACCACTATCAATAGTAACAGCATCCCAGTACTTTAAGGCTGAGTGGTTTACTATTTAGAGAACCAAGATTTGTTTTACACCACACAAACTGACTTCAGAGAAGAATTGGATGTACGGACCCTGTTAAAATCAAACAGAAAACCTCTTCGATGCTGTAAATGTGGGAGGTTCACATGCTGCAGCTTTATACAAAAGGAGGATTTACAATGTGCAGCTCTAATACCTACCTGGCTCCTGCCTGACTGAGTAGGAAGACCAAATTACCCTGTCTAACTTCAAGTGGTTTGTTTCCTCTCTGCATGTCCGGTGTCAGATCTTGCAGATGGCTACAGGCCTTTAAAGCAATCTCTTTTTTTGTTACGCACTAAGATACAGCAACACCTGATTAGCCTGAATGCTCTGTGGCTATATCATGATTTGGACTAAGAGGAGGTGGTTATTGCTGTTGCGGTTGCACATGGATATACTTCAGATGTACTCAAGATTTTGGGGTTGAAATCTAAGTGAGCTTGCTCAACACAACTTTATCACAGTGGAAATAGTAGCAGGCAGTCAGCACACAGATGACCTAGGAAATTGGATTGGGAGGGGGGCAATGCTTCCAGAAAAATGAGGTTCTGCTACAATTCAAGAGTTATAAATACCTTAATGGCAAAGAAGAAATTGCAGCCCCCTTCCTACACCCTGATCTTGAGAGTCCTGCATCATTTGGTAATCAAGGCTGAGAGCAGCAAGTATTTCCAGAACAAAGCATAACTGACTGACCATTGCTAAGCAAGAAGGAGACAGGTCACATGTAGCCTCCAGACTTTGGCTGAGGCAGGCACAGCAGAAAAACTCTGAAAAAAATTCCCAATATTTATTCACATTATGTCACCACAAGAGCTCCTGCGATGCTGTGATGTGGTGTCACATCACAGCGGGCAACCCAGGTGACAGCAGTGCACTGGAGCCCTGAGTCTGTTTTGGCTCTTGCTGGTGCTGTAGCTCTTGTAGGGCCAGCTCTCAACCTCACCCCCAGTTCACAAACTGGCCTTTTGCACAGTCAGGTGCTCGCTGCTGTCACCCACTCTCCCAGGAAGCCTGTTGCAAAGATGGCTGTCCCTCTTCAGCGTACCTACACAGTCAGATACACCCGTCTCTCCCCTACATAGTCCAGTCTGGTCCCAGGACCGCCTGCCCTGGACACACAGTCCGAAGTGCAGACATAAGACAGCTTTGTGAATAGCTGGGCTTTGGGTGACAATTTAGAATTACAAACAGCCTGAAAATTAAAGCATCTGTTTGTCGGACCATGTGATTGAGTCTGCTGTACTGCAAGCAAAGATGAGCAGCTCAAGGTCTAGGGACTGGCAGGGAGCAGAGGAACTGCTTCCAATGCAGTCGGGAAGGCAGGAGTGTGGCATCAGTGCAGCACAAGTCCCTTGGCAGAAATGCTGTGGTTCTGAGTAAAAGACACCAACTTTGGCCTGGGACAAACATGGCACCCACAGTACACTTTGCTCCACCTAAGCCCACACTGCAGCTGAGTTTGGAAAAAGACTTTCATTTTGGACAGAAAAGTTCTGATGGCTGGGTGGGTCTTCTTGAAAAGCTGAATTTGTGTAATCAGTGTTAAGCATTTCAGGCAGATCCATAATGAATAATTTAATGTAATACAGTTAAAGTGGCATTTTAATATCAACACAACATTTCTGAGTGCCAACAAGCACTTGAGTAGAGAGGCTGCTTAGCTGTGCTAGGAAAGAAAGCCTTACAATGGACAGGGATGAAGAACAGTAGCAGGATTCCCTCAGGAGTGCTCTGGAGCTCAAGCCTCACTTTGTGGCTGTAATAAACAAGCACCAACACCGTATGTTACACATGTTCTGTAAAGGGTACCTTGCGTGTCTGACATGAGAGAGGAGCATCAGCAGGTTGGCCAGGCGAGTGGTCTGCTGCTGCGAGGGGACTCCGCTCTTTGCGATAACCCACATCAAAGCATCTGTGACCACATTAAGCAGATGATGCAGTTTCCTGTTGCTTTCTGGTTCTTCTCCTGACAAGGGAAACATGCCTAAACAGAGAGACAAATACAGACTTGAGGAAGAAAAAGAAGCTACGACCGTGGACTTTTTTTCTGATATCATATTTCAACAGGATTAGAGAAGATACATTTCCTGACATCTGCCCCTCAAGACTGTACAAATGATGTTCCATGTGCCACACCAAGCTTCAGCTTACATTCCTTTGCCAAAATTTGACGGCCACATCCTTTGGAAACTGAGCAATTCTCCCAAGTCCTCCCATGACAACATGTTGAACATAGATGTGCCCTCTGTTCTCCAGGGTTTTTTTCCCTTTGAATCACTCTGTACCTTGTATTTTAGTAACTATTATGAATTACAGCATTATGCTTGCTCTAATCTCTTCTTGCTGAAAAAACCCTCTTTTGTGTGAGTATATCCTAAGGAGGGAGGAGAACATGTTGAGAGACACTGCTCACAGACCCAGCCTGCCATGGTCTCCCTACCACTCACTGCAGGCGCCATAACACAGCATTTACCTACAGTGGGAAACCTTAAAAGTCAGCAAAAAGCAGGGAATTGGGGGTAGAGAGAAGAGAAGAAATCACCACTAAGGAGGTCTGAAAACACACAGTAACATCATTGGTGGAGCAGAAGTGATCGGGGGGGGGGGGGGGGGAGAGGGCAGCAATCCTCTCAAAGATACTTATGGAAGGACAGAGCTCCAGAACACCTTGGAAATTAGGATTAAAAGATGAACCTTGACAAGAAAGATGAGCAGGGAGAGGTGAAAGGAGTGATTTTTCTCTGGGAGGTGAGGGTTTGAAGGAAATAACAGCCGACAAACATAGTTTTGTCTGCTTGGTTGGTGTGAGGTTTTTTTTTAAGTAAAAAAAAGACCAGCTTTTGTTGTCTGTTGAAATAATGGGATCCATCTCTACACAAGTGGGATCACTGCTGGACCATTCCCCTTCAGAACTGGGCTGAGAATTACACAGCAGCTCCTTGCTGAAAACAGTCCATGCAACAGCTGTTGTTATTTTATTGTTGGATTCTTTGGACAGCACTACTCACAAAATGTTCAGGGGAATAAAATTATTTCACTGCAGACAACCTTAAACTGGCAAACACGCTCCTGTCTGCCTTGGGTGAAACACTGCAAAGCAAGCCTTTCGCAAAGCAAAGCTCGTATCCTGAAACTAAACTCACAGTTGAGTACTTGCAATCATTTATACCAGTTAATTACCTTTAAATAGGAACACTATTAATTATTAATCATATATTATTAATTAATCATCACTCAATTGAGTAACTAGTTTTACTACAATTAAGAATTAAAGACAGGTTTGTAGAGCTGCACAACAACTTTACACATCCCCAGGATCCACAGAGACACAAGTAAAAGTTCTTGCTGAAAAGGACATACTCACATCCTGGGTCCCAAGCCCCACCTTGTAAGAAGCTTTCAGACTTTGGGTCTTTCATGCAGTTCTTACAACAGGACATAGACCATAAATCCAGCAAATGATACAGCTTAGCATTTTCCGGAGCAAACATCCTTACCAATCTGGCAGTTAGTCCTTTCCTATTGTTCTCTTTCAACAGCTTTATCTCATTTGATAATTCTGCCATTTTTAGAGGCTGATTTCACAGCCACATTCAATATAGAAAGTACAGTTTAGTGAGTGTCAGAGCCAGTCACATACTTACTGGAATTGAGGAGGATCATTGCCTTGACACACAGATACTCCTTGTGCTGCAGTTTCAGCTCTCGTAACCTTGAGGTCATAGCCAGAAGCATATCAAAGATCTCCAAAATTCCCTCTACGCATTTCCCCTCGTCCCTATGGAAACACATTCAAAATGTCATCGAAAAAGTAGAAAGAAGAAACTCCAACTCAGTCAGACAAAAAGGCCTATCCATCTCATCTTCGGGAGAATTGAAAAGTTCTATCATGATATCTAAATTGAAAATTACAGTGGTATAAAAGGTCAGCACCTCTAAGAAACTGATTTTCTCATTAAAGCACATGCAGGATGGACCACAGGTAAGTATGACCATATTTCTGTAAGAGGCTTTATCCTCACAGCCAGTGTAATTCTGATAATCAGTTTGAAACACTATAGTGTTTCACAGTACCACCTCGAATCATTCTCCAGATTTCTTTCGCAAGGAGTTAGTACCTATTTGTACCTGAGGGAGGTCTGAGGACCTGGTGAATAAAAAAGACTCCCTAAAATAAGTTTCTTGGAGTAATAGGACACTTTTAAAGAATAAACCAAGTTCTACTCCCAGCCCCCAGCCCCCTTTTTCCTTGAAGGTGTTGAAGTATAAATAGATTGGGGAGGAGGGAGGGGGGTGTTGGTGGCTTTGTGATTGTTTATTGTTATGCTTGCAAGTGTTAGCTGAATGCAGCTTTCTCCATTTTGGATATTAGAAATGATCCCATTTTCAGAAAACAAGCAAACACACAAACAAACAACCTTAAGTCACTGAAATAGGTTTAAAATTAAGCAGCAGCAAACTTCACACCACTTTAGTTAGTGTTCCAGTTTTTTGGTTAGGTTTGTTTTTTGCATGTACTGGACTAAAAAAGCAATTAAGTAGCATACAACATGGTATTCAAAAATTCACAGTATTGAATACAACACAATATTCAAAGGGATGCTTCTTATCCTTTCTGTAATATGCTGCTTTTTTTTCCTCTGTAAGGTTTTAATAAGAGGAAGACCTAAGCACAGCAATGCAGGAGAATTACAAAACTCCAAATCCTTCTAATGTCTTTTAGAAAAACCTCCTTACTTATCTGTATTCTTCCCTGCTATTGAGAACAGCAGCAGTGGCAGGAAGAAAAAGGCAGAAAAGCTACTCAATTAAAATATGGCCTGACATTAAGTCTACTTTTTTGGAGGGAAATGGGGAAAATCACCAGTGTAGTGCATTGCGTTGCTGTGTCAACAGTTACAGCATCCAGAGACCTGGACCATAAAGAACAAAGCCGACAGAAGGTGTGAAAAATACAGAAAAGCTTCAAACTGTCATGTGAAGCTACAGGAATTCAGGAATATGCAGGTTCAACAATACTATTTATACTTAGTATTCCTTTACCTGTAGGTAAGGAATGGGTAGGTACAGGTAAGCCCCTGTAAGGATGTGGAACCTCAAGACATTATTGTTACAAATACAAGTAAATTATGTTGTTGGATAAAATATTAATAGCATCTCCATACTTAATCCTCTTGCTCTTACCTCCAGGCATGCTAATGTGAAGTGCTCTCAAGGAATTTATTATGCTTTTACCTGTCTAAGACAAGGTCTGGTGCAAAAATCAGTTTCCCAGGATGGTCAATTGATCTCCACATCAAACCAACCATTAAAACTTCCATCCAGCAGCTCTCCAAGAGTCTTACTTGGTCATAGAGGCTGAGATCAATGAAGCCTAAAAAAAATGAAAATAACATAAATCAACCTCTTTATTTCTGTGTTTTGATAAGGGAGTCCGAGTATATGAGAAACAAAAAGAAATAGAAAGAATTACGTGCTGTGAAGAAAGCCAGAAAAGGGAGCACTGACACCAGAAGCAGCATGCTGCTGTCTCAAATAGAAACATAAATATATATTATTATCATTCTCAAATCTTCCACAAAACATTTGAAATAACAGAGTGATGTTCCAGTGCAATTACCCGTATACAGCTGGTAAAACTCAAGTGGCTGCAGAGGACTAGCCTTACGCTGGGCCAGTTCTTTAGATGACAGCATCCAGAAAGGCCCCAGAGAATCACTTGGGAAACTCAAGTTGGAGGTTACTGCACTGCCCTGCAGAGGGCTCCTAAGAAATTAGTCTGTTCTTTCCCCAGAATGCAAATGGTTGCTCTTTGCAGTTGGTTGTTTTTTTTTTTTAATCTCATAAAACAGACATGTTCCCGGGTTTCTTGCCTAACTGTTAAAGAATCTTGATGCCTCTGTGTTGTCAGTCCCTCTGTAAATGCCATGAGTTGACCCCTCCCATCCCTTTCCTGCTGCCTCCCTCCTCAAAACTGCAATAAACCAGAACAAACAAACAAAAAACAAACCCAGACAAAAGGAGACAGGGGTGGTTGGTGAAGGTAGCAATGTCCCCACTGCATTCACAAACAGCATTCCAGCAGCAAGAACAGGATAAATACAACTGTGCATAAAACTGTTTCATCATTTAGTTCTCTCCACAATTTAGGCACTGGATCACACTGCAGCACAGCCCGAAGGTAGAGACAGTCATTGCCCTCCTTTTCCCTCCCCCTGCAAAAAAACACTAGGGAAAAAAAGATGTATAGAAGCCATATGGATAGACATAAAATTCACACACCCTGAAAAAAAAGGCTAGAAGTGTAAATTACCAAAATGCAAGTGGGAAAGCAGACTGCTCAGTCATAGTAAAACAGATATGATGAAGACCAGTTCAGTGGTCAAAACCAAGATCAGGCCACTTTTCAAAGCAGAGCTGATAGGTCTCTATCTTATCCAAAGGTGCTTCGAGATGAGCTGATACCTACTGCTCTGCACGGGGAAAAAATCATTACAGCCTGGCCATGGGAGACAGGCTCCCCATTCTTGCCAGATGTCTGACGTCTTAAAATACACACAGTACGTTTGCACCATCAAAGAATCTGCTGTCAGCAATTTATACAAATGCTCCATATATTTTAATATTATTAAACTACTAAGCTGGAAGACGGTCGGTGACAGTCTTGGGCTGATATAAACTGGGTAATGTGCACACACTCTTATCATTAATAGAAGTGCTGCCTTTCAAAATGGCTTGCTCATCATTGTGTAAGAAGGCTAAACAGGAGACAGCGAACACCTTCCCTCCCGGATTTCACTGTCACATAATTTAGTACAGAATCCACATCCAACAACAGATTGTCTGCCAGACACACACTCAAAATTTTAAAAATGCTTTTAGAAAAATAACCATGGAAGTGTGAATGGGAGAAACTAAAAGTGGCAGCTTCCTGGGAAACAATGACCAAGAGACATTTCAGTTCATTTAAATAAACATTTACACAAGAGTGCCCTGATTTCTCCAGCTCAAACAAACAGTTATTTGGTTTAAAAAACTATCTCAGTTGAGTGAGATGTTAGACCAAATCCCGGCGTGCAATCTACAGATACTCAAACATCCAGCTTTATCTGTATGTCATCTGCTAAACTCACATTATCTGCACTAGCAGTATGATTTATGAACCCTGAGCACAGCCATTAGAAGGACAATACCTTTCCTTTTCATAACAATCTTGTGCATTACTGAGGGCAGCACACAACCACCACAGCTTCTACTGGAGTGTCAGAAGTTCTAGTTCATTTGCTGCAGAATACATTAAACTACTTTTCTATGGCTGTACTACATGTCCTTTAAATTGTGCGCTCTACACCTAATCGCTTAATTATGAATTACTAAAACAGACTAGAAAAACTGTTGTGCTAGATGGGTAGTGACTAGCAAAAGGCATGCTGCTCTGGTCAGCAGCACACGAGGTTGCATAATGAATCCAAGTTTCAGTATTATGACAACATTCTATTAGCAACACAGTTCAGCTTTGAACCACATTGAGCTACCTTAGACAAGGTAAACAAAGTAAAAGGCAGTTACAGAAGTTCTGCCATCTGACAATTAAGGATTAAAATGCTTGTAATTGAGAAGGAAAAAAATCCATGTATCAGATTCTAGTTTACTGAGCAACACAAAAATACGATCCGTTAAACTGAAAGTACAGACAAAATTACAGGCACAGAGCACAACTGCTAACAAAAGAATTTCATTAAATATTAAATATGAAAAAAAAAGCCCTCAAAATGTATCTTTCCTGTTTAGGGCTACTGTTAACATAAGCATCTGTGAGGAAAAAGAAAGATTTTCTTTCACTTTCAGTGAGTGTCAAAATAATATCCAGTAATAACTTAGAGGTAAAAATGGGCTTCTAAGCCCTGGCACACAAAACCAAATATTCAGCTTTACAGAAAATAAAGTTACTGCTCAGTGGGCCATTACTCAAGAAGTCTGCATATTTTTTTCCTAAGAACCTACCTCCAGGAACCAGGCATGGATCGAGATGATTAACTTCAGGCAAGAAGTTTCAAAACCTGAAATTCTGTGTCCTGAGCTCTAGACATCATGGTTATTTTAATGTAAAAAATAAATAAATCCACATCAAAGTAAATGTTCTAACTGCCATGTGCTATGGCGATATTATTACATTAGGAACACATTAAACAATCACATCTACTTTGGGCATTGTTCTAAAATGGTGTTTCTGTTCTGTGTAACAGGAGTGATCAGAAAAAGAAACCCAAACCAAACATACAAGATGAAGGGTCAACATTGCCTGGAACTGTTTTGAAGGGGGTTGATTGTTTCAGTGGGTTTTCTTTATACAGTTCTCTTACTGCCAAGAAAAGGGTTTTCTTTTCTGACATACGTTGAAAATAAACTAAAAGTGATCAATGTCAAAATTTGGGTTGCTTTGGAAGCTGATCTTTAAAAACAAATCAAAAAAATCAATCTCAGCTGGCTGTTTTCTCAAAAAAAAGCTGACATAGTTTAAAAAAAAATAACAAAGAAATTAAGAATAAACAGAAAATTGAAAGGTTGGTTGGTTTCCCCCCCCCCCCCCCCCCAAATATTCCTTAAAATGATGTCATTTTCAAAGAATTTCCCTGGTTTTCCTTCACAATTCACTTCCTACCAGGTTAACATAACCATACAGAGTACTCTGAAATAGTACTTTTTAATCAAGTTTTTCTGATTAAACAAGAAATTTTAGCATCGACACTACTTAATATTTGGGCTTTCAGTGTAACACATTCCACATTAACAGCAAAACCACTATTGCGCTGCAAATGGCTAGATGGCTTAAGATGTTCATGCTGCACAAGTATCTGCTCCCCAGTAGCTTAACAGCACACGTGGAATTTGCACACCCAAAACTATCACACCGGCATACTCCAACACAGTGGCTAAGCCATGAAGACTGTAATCTGCACTTAGAAGATATGGTCCAGCAGCTGGAGCTAATAGCAGCTTCAGCCACCTCACCTAGATCTGAAACAGAATTGGCTTCTTAGTTCAAGGATTATATGAAATATTCCTTGTTTCTTGTACTATGTCTACTCTCAGTTTATCTTTAGATGTAACAATTACTGCCAAGTCTTCCTGTGTATGTGTATTTAAGCAGCAGCAAATACTGTTAATAGTGCATAAGCATGACAAGACCAGGGCATGCACCAGCACGCTCTGACTACCTTCAGCATAAAATCCAAGTGAGGAGCTGTTGTGTGCTGGCTCCTCAGTCATGATGGACATGGGGTTAGAACTACCAGGCACACTGCAGAATATGTTAGTCAATTCTAGCAGAGTACTCTACCTTAAATTAAGGATTAAGCCCCATGCTGCTATATGTCTATCAATTATTCAGCGCTTCTTTCAGCTCAGCCCATGTGTTTATTACATCTATCAATTATTCAGTGCTTCTTTCAGCTCACTATTGTTAGTTGGTCACTTTAGCTCTTGCTGAAGGGCTACAGTCTGCGGTTTAGCCTGTGCCAGCCAGCAAGTTTTTCTGCACACTTTTGCCAACTACCATCTCTGTGTGCTGGCTGCTTTCATTCTGACTTTTATTCTTTATTCTGTTTTAATCATGAATGCTTAATGGAGAAGGAATTGCAAATGCTCACCACCTGTAGGTTATAAGAAGTGAAATGGTACATTGCCATGATACTGGGGTGGCATTTGAGACCTTCAAGACAATAACGCATGTAGTTGAACTTCAGTGTATGTTTTCTATGTTGCCAACAACCAAACGCATCCTTACTGATTTTTGCTTTGAAGGACAGCACATGATAATTCGGAGATTGATACTATGCACCACTTTGCAATCTGACATTCTTGTGTAGTAACTACGTCAAACGAAGTGATTGTAGACACTGACTGCTTGGACACAATTTTGTTTTCAACTGTATTAGAAACCTTTTAACAGGATTCAAGGAAAATATTGGTCTTTCAGTCTTTTATAGCAAACCAGTTAATACCCTTTTAAAGAACCTTTAAATCAGATTAATCAGGTATTTATAGCTAATGAGGTAGAAATTGCAAGCAACAGCAACTATGCTTTTTAGCAAAATGAACAAGTATTTGACTAACAACAGGTAGCAAATTGTGAGCTAGGTCACTGTCTAAATGAAAATACATCCAGGTGAATTACTGAGAGCAATAAATTGTTTATTATTTTAAACTATAAAAATCTTAAGATTTTCATATTCATGTTTACTGTGCTGTGCTGTTATTTCAGGGTAGACAATGACACACTATTTAAGCCAATGCTTTTGTGATCAAACAAAAAACAAGACTGAAATACTTACCAGGAATTTTTTTGGCCCAAGCAATCATGTGAACCAGCTCTTTGTCTGCCAGTTTTGTCAGGGACATCATCATGGAGGCCTCCGTGAATGGTTTGCTGGGACGACTCACCAGTACATTGGGAGGCTCTGCTTCAAGTAGTGTCAAAACAAATTGCTCTGGACTGACTGTGCTGAGCAGGATCTCTTTTACACGGGTTGCTGTCTCACTGTATTTCTTAGCTTTGCCAATGCAATGCATGTGATCTTCTGAATTACGATGGCTACGCAGGATCCGATACCCACAACGTTCTCTTCTTGAGCCTGACACAAGAGACACGTGATTACATTTTTCTCTTAGTGTTGCATTATGTAAATCCAAATGCATGAGGACAAGTGGGAAAACCATTTAATATTGGATATCCTAGTACTGACCATCAAGCTTCAGAATTTCTAGAGCATTCAGCACTGACTTAGCTTTGTTTTACTGACTTCAGCTGAGGCTTTTGTTTCCTCTACTAAACAAAAAATAACTTTTAAAAATGTTTGCTTTTGATCTTCAGTTAACTTACTTTAAACATCCATGGGAAAATTCCCATTGACATGAAAAGAGAGATACATCATGTCTTTAAATGCAGTTAAAGATAGCTGTTTGTAAATTCTGTTTTTAAATTCTGGTTTAGATGTAAACTGGGGGAAGAGAAGATTTCTGGAAGTCTGGGCCATGATAGACAGTAAATATGTCAGCCAGAAGCACAGCTGGGCTTTACTGCTAGCTGCCTGTTCAGCTAGGGACTCGCTGAGATGCAGCCCATTTTTTCCCTACATCCCATTAAGACAGCAGGAGTTTCCCCAAAGCTAATTCAGATCTACAACTGGAAAGAGCAAGCCCCCTGTTTGGAGGGCTCTGCATGCAGAATGCTATTTGTGTTGCAAGGATCCCTTTAAATTATTGGACTTAATTTGTTGTTCATTCTATCAATACCAAACATTCTCCAATTCTGTCAGTGTTATTGGTAGGATCACTGTTACCTGTTCTTGCATAGATGCCATGGAAAGAGTCTAAAAGCATCTCCACAAACATGGTATGGGTATTTGCTAAAACACTCAGCCATGGCTTCTGCTTCACTCACCCCTTCAGCATATTATATAACAAGGACTATTTTTACTGATTTACAGATAATTCTTGGCAGTAACTAATGCACCATAGATTGTACCGTATTGAAAACCAGGATATTTAAAAATACTAAGTTACTGAAGAGATCCTTCAACTCGAATCTTTCAGCACTTAATATGTCTAATATCACAGCTGAATTGTCCTCTAAATCTTTCAGAAGTTAATTTTTTGTGCTGGTCATCAACACTTTTACTGACATATGATACTCAAAAGTTGAATTTTCATAGATATTAAAATGCCTATGCTAACATAAATCTATACTACATCAACATTTATTATTGCACGCATAGAGACTTATGGAGTCTCTATGCACGGTAAGTTCCTTCATTTGGTTTCAATTCCACAATAAATTTGACAAAAGCATCCTTTTTGCTATTGCTACTATTTTGACATTATTATATTTATGAACTCTTTCCAATGTATTGCCTGAAGACTTCATGCCCTGGTCACAAACTGGTTCTTCTTCAATAGGGTATGTAACTAAAGGCTTCATAAAGCTTGAGGACAAAGAAGTAAAGGAATGATGAAGATAGAAGAATCCTAAGAACTTGTAATCAGTGGCAAAAAACACACTGCCTAGGCTACTTTCAGGGCTATCAAGGGACAATGTTCAGCCTATGGTCTGGGCACAACACCCTGCAGACAAGTCAACAGCAAAGGCTTTTCAGTTCACCTGGAGAGGCCAGGTACTTCAAGCCACCTACTAGAAAGACCGGAGGACCTGGGTGTCAACTTCTGGTAGGGCAGTAGGTTTGGACCATGCTGCCATGGACCTGTTTTTGCATGTGTGTGTGCATGTGTGCTCATGCACACAGGAGAGTTTGCACCTGGAAGAACAGAGGGTCCAGAGGCCAGCTACTGGATAACACTGACTTTCTAAAGCCACTTACTGGAGGGATCTATAGTACATGTGTGTTTCTGTGGCCATTTGTGGGAGGGAAGGGCTGAATACCAGCAACTGGGGTGAGGCTGCCGTCCCAGAGGCCATCAGCTGAGGAGATACTGAGATCCACCGGCCAACTACTTGACAGAGTGTCTAAACCCAGGTACTGAGAGGATTCATACTGTATGAATGCATGTCTTTTACACTGCTTACTTGCATGAGTACTGTATTTTCTATCTCTGCTGGTGTATGTGGCTGACTGCGGATACAGGTATTGTGTGTATATGTGCCTAATAACAGTACACACTCAGACTCACTACTTGTGGACATGGGAATGTGGCAGTCTTCCTTGTCAAGCTACTGGATTCAGTGATTCCTACCGTTCTTCATCCATAGCCACCATGTATTGTCTAAATTCCATCCAGGCAATGCAATTCTGGCCGTGGGTTTCAATTAGCAAAGAGATTCAAACATAAGCCAAATTAAAAATAAATTAAAAAGAAAAAAATTCAGATGCTGAAATTAGTGACAAGGCTTTGTCTTGCTAAATAAGATTTTGGGTGAATGCAGTCTCTCAGTGGTGGAGGTTCCTCAGATGAAGTGGCTTTTCAGGTCATAATCATGGCTTGTTTTCAGCTATCAAGCACCGTTTGAGCAACCTGTGAAAAGGGTGAGATGCAAAGGCCAGCTGGGTACAGCCTGAAGGCACTGAAAAGAATAGATAAGGATGGACTTTAAGGATGTGGAACTCTCAACTGCATATTGCTATCATTCTCACTTGCTGCATGTTTAGTAAACCATTTCTGATGGAAAAGAGAACAGAATGACCACTACAGAAGTTCTCAATATCACAGAACACCCTCTACCTGGAAATGCAAGAGACTGAAGACAAATAGGCAATGCTGGTCCAATAAACAGTCCTCAGTCATGGAGGAATCCAAGTGTAAGAAGGCATTTGAAACTGGAAGCATTATCAGCTGGAAGTCTGCACAATTTGGGGCAAGGACGGTTTTGCATCCTTAAAAGGAATATGGATAGGATAAAATGGGTTGAGTACGGACAGGATATTTGCACAAATAATGGATTGAAGGAAAACAATCAGTGATTTGCAGAACCAAATGCTTGGCCAAATGACATCTAGTTGCCAGAGCAGGTGAACAGAACTTACGGAAAGATACAACATATCAGCAAAGACAATCAGAACTTGAGACATGTTATGGTATATTCATGAAATCAGACTTGATGATGATACTCAAAAAAAAAAAAAAAAAAAAGATAGCTGGAGAAGTGTGCAAGTCACACAGCAATTTCTTCAACCATTTGTCTGGGCAAATCCTTTTCTTCATTAGAGAGTCAAAAGACAGCAAGACAGACTAATTTCTACAAAGACGCTTGGACAGTATAGCGAATGTTTCAATAAGCCTCAGAGAACTCTGCGCTAAGCCTCATTTTGGACTACTGCACCAAGGTCAAGAGGAAAATCTTGAAGTGCTTTGTCAGCTTTAGAAAAACAGAATGGCACATTGGGCTGCCGACTCTTCTGAAGTCATGTCATGCATGAAAGTACGTAAATATTTTCCACCAGGGAAGACAAAGAGGAAAGGTCGACAGTGAGCTAAGCAACTGGAACAAAGTACAACTCTGAAGAGATGAGGAAATACCTAGATATCAGGGTGCTCTCTCTACAGAGATCCATAGCTCTGATTTCCATATGAATGTGTATTGTAGAGACAGTAACCACCAGAAGGCATCCAAACTAAAGCAAGAAGAAACCCCGCACATTGTTTCTACTATTGAGAAAGCAGAAGAACATTGAAAATGGGCACCTCGAAGGACAGAATAAGAAAAATAGCACAGAGGAACTAAAAGCCATAGGCAGTACAGAAGAGAAATTTTCTTGGGCTATCAAAAAATACCAACTGCTCCACAATAGACATAGTTTTCAGTTAGGGACCATATCTACAATTATAAAGTCAGAAAAAATACTGGTTTAAGAGGGAATTAGGGTGAGGAGGAGATGCCTGATGACACAAGGAAGAAATTCCAGCAGTTTGGATATACCTGCCAGAAGCAAGGTGTGGTCAAGCAAGCACTTGCAACCAGATCACTGACCCTAGTTCAGTTCCTTGCACTGAAATGAACCAAGCACAGCCTTGTGGGCTCCTCATCCTCTGATCACCTGTCCTTAGCTCTCCTATACTGTCACCCTGACTTCTGTGGCATGGAAAATATCAGGTCTTTGGTGGCAACACTCGAATTATCCTCTCTAATTCACTATTGTAAAGATTTTTAATAACATTCTGTAACCCATCCAAGATATAAACACACAGGTGTGTTTATATTATATATACATATATATATAAACATATACATACACACACACACATATATACATACATATAAGCAGGTGTGTTTCTATACTCTTGTGTGTATATAAACGCACAGGTAAGTGACCAGGTACTTTAACAAAGACCAAAGAGAAAAAGAAAGAAATATTTGTTTAAATTAAAAAATAATAGTCCAATATCCTGTTCTGATACAATCTTGTACAATTTTCATCCACACAGCTGCACTCCATCCTCTGTCTTAATATAATTCAGTCAGGTTGTGATATTTACTGATAGTATTAAAGGTCTCAGTAGCTGTGAAGGGTTCTTACTGGGAAATAGCAATCACCTTTAAATTACTTTAGGTTATTTAACTAAATCAGACTTTGTATACAGCCAGTACTTATTACAATAAAAATGCTTTATTTAAAATGTAAAAAGTTTCTACAATCACAACTCCGGTGTAGAAGCCAAACCAGGACTGTTATGACATTTCTGCATAAAAAACTTGTTAGTAAAAAAATATAGCTGGTGATGAAAAAAAGGGGAGGAAAGAAAACCCAACAAAACCAAATTCTGAATTATTATTTGCAATTTTTAATCAGCATATATTGCCAAAGCAGGTGAAGGCTGGTTCACTGAGCAGGCCATAAAATTACTTTGTCATTAATTAAGAGATACCACTTATTTCTACAGTAAAATTCATTCTGCTTGTATTTTTAAAAAGTGCATTGGAAGATTACACAGCTATGAAAACAATATTTAAGGTTGCTAATTGCTTGTCAATTAAGACATCAGAAAGTAGCAGCCTTTCCAATTGACACACATTTTAACAACAGAAAGAAACTTCAGTACTTTCTAATCAAATCCAAAGCTTAGGTGGGACCCAGAAATCTTACATGTATGTCTGTTAGCATCCAACAGGTATGTTTAAGCGCTTATAAAACTATATATCATAAATAATTATAGGCCAGCTTTATGTTTGGCTTAACCAGACACAGAGATGGGGATCAATCTGAGTAAAGTCATGGCATTAAAATACATAGAGCTTCCCAGATAAGGGACTATCCCCGACTTCACCACAAATCCCCTAACTATATTTAATAGCTAATATTCATTCATATAAAGGTAATTCAGGCAACTGCAGAAATTCACAAGATGATAAAATTCCTTCTCCTTCCTACAGCATTCTCCTTATTTAGATCTATTATTTGCACAAGAAAATAGCTGTATTCAGATGAGAACGCCGCGCCAAGGGCAAGACCTCAAACTACAGCATCATAGACCACATGGGTATACGATCACAGGAAGATAAGAAATAAGACACACTGAAAAAGAAGTCATTAAAATGAGCCTGTTCACTTACCCATGAACAAGCCACAACAAGTATTATTGGCAGTGAAACACGCTATTTTTAAAGCAACTCCTGCTTTACAAATTCTTTGAAAATGGCAAATGCTGTCTGTTATGGTTGGCAGTTACATGGCACATTGCTTTTGATATTGATCTTAGTCCCTGGCAACTGCTAATGTAACTAACAAGTTCAGCAGCAACTGCAGGTTCTACCACTGAATATATTATAATAAGTTTTGCAAGTGTTTGAGCTTAAAACTCACTCAAGTATACATTAGTAAATCATTATCACTCCAGTCTCCCTTGAAAGCAAATGCAAATCTGGTGAGTACACCTGTATTCACAGAGCAGACCTACTGACCAAGAAGCTGCCATCTGCCATACACACACAAGAATACGAGCTGAAATTCCAGTAATTTCTATAATAGCTAAAATATAATTAACACATCTTATGTCCAACGAATGCCATGCAATATTTTTGCCCCACTTACTTTCTGTATGAAAAGTAATTATAGCATTCCAAAGTGCTCTCTGGAAACTGCACACAGTAGCCACACACAGGACATAAAAAGCCAACTCCTGAACCATATCAGCCCACAGAGAGTTGTGGTTTTCTTTCTGCAAACTTGTTGGATAATGACACTATTCAAGGGCAGCATCACTCCATCACTTCTTAGTATGCCCCCTCAACCTCCTCACTTGGGGCAGAGAGGGGACAGAAAGGAAGAACTTTTGGAACATTTTCAGTATGTTGAGAGCTGGCACCTGGGAGAAAAGGAGTGGGATGGAGTGGAGGAATAAAAGGTAACCTTAGGAACTCCTTATGGAGGAAGGTCTATTTGAGCCTCAGGAACCAAAAAAAGAAAAGCACAAGTATAGCTGCTCCCAGAGTGGCTATAGCTAAGGGATGAAGTAACTCCCCTCTTCTTTGGAAGCCTATAGTCCATTTCAGCTGCTCAGGTAAACACCAAAAAACTCCAAGAGAAGATCAATTTTATCCCAGTCCGGTTTATTTGAGTTTGCTGGGAAGTTTACTGCAGTATTTCTGTTTTCCTTGTTCCTGTTGACAGTGCCTTGCAATTATTTTTCTACCATTTCTGGTAGTCCTAGTGCCAAAATCTGGCAGTAGTGTTCTTGATTGGAACAGCGCACAACACAGACTTCCTACAGTGAAATTGGCAGCTGCAGTGTCCAAGCCCCTCACAGTGCTTTTGGCAATGATGGTATATTTTGTAAGAAAATTCATTATCATATTGATACAAAGAACCCCCAGCTAGCTTCCACTGAAATATATGTGGCTTCTTGGGTTAATTCTCAACATTTATGAATGTTATGACATCCAAGAGAACTTCAGACCAGGAAACTCCAAAGCCACATTTGCCTACTGTTTCCTCCTCTTTTAAAAATGGCATGTACTGCATAATCACATTTACACACAGAAATGTATGCTATTCACACACAGTTTTTTTTCTCAAGGTGTCTATTGATAAGATGCAAAACAAGGACTAAAAGATTTGATCCAAATAGCTCAGAATTTTTATGGAGAGCTTTCATAAACTACAAAGCAGTAATTGAGGTTCTTTTATCACTTCTGTTGGACAAGAAGTCTCCACTGAGCAAAAAACGCACTTACAAACCATTCTACCTTATTCACGGTTTTAGCAGATGTGAGCCAATGTATTCACTAAGTGACCTAGAAAAGGAGCAGAGATGGGGGAAAAACCTCCATTAAAAAGAAAACATACTCTTTTACAGCTTTCTACAATGAAAAATTGGCATTAAAGCATGGCTCTAACAAGACAAAATTTGAAAGATAATCACTCTGGTCTGCAGGAAATGGCAATTACATTTTATGCAAGAAATACGGTCTTAAAATCTGTCTAGTTTAAATGGCTGTCACGATGTGTCCATGCATCAGCATTACTCACAGACGCCACTTAACTGATGAGGCAGCTCAGAAAATTCTGAATAATTTTTATATTCAGTTTTCTGAAATTAAACTGTTTAGATTTTTAAATAAAATTCTCAGGAATCTCAAATTTCACTGCTACTACTTAGAAAAATTATTTTTTAAATAAAATTCCTGTTAACAGTTTCAAAGTATCATTTTTGGTCTGGCACAGTCATTAATGCCCTACAACATTCATTATTGTAGCAAAATATGCTTAGGAATATGTGACAAGATTAAAAAAAACACAGGCTAAGACATAAGTACATATTGTTATTTATTACTTGTAATACCATAGTGCTTATGAGATCTAATCACAAACCAGGACTCTCTGGATAATTAGAAAGAAAGTATTAGCTTAAGGAAAGCATTGGGGAGGACCACCTTATAATATCATACTGGAATCAATCTTTGCAAAATTTCTCCAACTCTAGAACTGGGGCTTGACAGAAAGCCCTGTTCAAAAAACTTTGAATAAAATATCAGACCAAAAAGGTCTGATCAAAAAAAAAGACAGTAACACCATTCAAAAAGTAAGGTTTCAAAAGGAGTCTCATTTGCAAGTGTAAGGTTTTACTTTCTGGAGACCAGACAGCAAAGGTAACTGAGACCATAATAATGAAAAACATCCATAATTTTGAGATGCATCATCAGTGCAGAAGAAGAAAGGAGCTTCATATAGCAAGAACTAGATGACTTGAGCAACAGAAACTAGATGTACTTCACAAGTACAAAAATAATACAAGGAACAATGAATTTGTAGCTTTAAGCTGGGAGTTATCAACTAGAAATGAACAGAGAAGCTGAAATCAACCATGAACAAGGCATATAGGATCCTGGGTTGTAAGGAGGGAAGAGCTCCCATGTAAGAGATACTAGTGCTACTACTGTGAAGGGAGTTCACAGGAATACTGTCCAGGGTTCTGATCATCCAAGTGAAAAATGGATTAATTCTGGGGCAGACAGGGACAAGTTACCCTGATGACTTTCAGATACTTTCCTATTTTGCAAAAAGAGGAGACTTCTTGGTTTATGAAGCATAATAAAACAAAGATTATGAGGGGATGTGATGTAGACCATAAACACAACCAGACCGTTAACAATAAGGAGGAGCTACAGGACAATGTTGCCACAAGAACAAATGGGCATTAATTGTCCAGCAATAATGGAGGCTGTAATTCTAAAGAATTCTCCTAATAAAAGAAATAATATTCTGCAAACAGCCTTCAGATCAAAGCAGTGGGAGGACTAAAACAGTGCTTAGCCTTGAAATAGAAATAGGTATCTACATTAAATGGGATGAATAAGATGCACGCCTGCAAATCACAGCAGACCAAGCACAAGGCCCTTCTTCTTTTCACTCCAGTGTTCCTATATAATGTTTTCCCAGCCTATTTCTATCATGTACACTGGAGAACCTGTAAGAACCAACAGACCTTGGCTGCGAAAGTATATTAGATATTGAAATATCTTAAAGTTACTTTCTTCTTAAAAGTAACCTTTAAAATATAATCTGTAAATGTGCAACTACATTGAAGTCACGTTACTGCAAGTACAAGACAGGAAGAGAAAAGGTTGGATAATTCTGAATGATGCAGTAACAAAGAATGTTTGTTCACTACTTCTTTTGATAGAAGAGCTGCGTGGCATCATCTGAAAATAGCTTGTTGTAAAAAAGAACAGACTACCCACTGCCTTCCCCTCACTGCCCCACCAAAGCCCCATAAAGAAGCCTGGCAAGCAAGGATCTGGTTCTTCACATGACAGTTGGTCAAGCTGCTGTGGGATGTTGTAGATGATAAGACTTCATAGGACTAAAAAGAGGGACAATGGAAAAGTTGCCATTCTCTTAATATATTAAGACACCTACAAGAAACCTCTTCTAAACCAGAAGTCCTCAACTTCTGGGAGCTGAGATGTCAGCAGTAGTTTCACACAGGTGCTAGTCTCATTCTTAACGCTCTTCCCAAAGCCACTGTTGAAGCAGAATACTGGGTTAATTAACTACTGCTTTGATGGGGCACTGCTTTATATTCAGCCAGCAGAGCATAGTACAGGCTCATCTACCCCATATTAGAAAGGATTTCAGTCTGATTTGAGGCTCAGGCAGCAGCTAGTCTTGGGTTCCCATTCTGCAAAACACAGTATGGAAGTAAACTGCCTTCAGAGAGCTCTGCAGAGGTACTATGGTTTTCATGTGTCCAACCTACACCTTACCTCTTCCCACAGGTTTTCTTCTGAAAATGAAAATCTTTTGCATTAAGAATTGGTACACTTCTTCCTATAAAACCAGCTTAAACCTTGCTTTAATTGCCTGTTGTGCCTTTTTAGGATTCCAAGAAAAAGAAAAAGGAAAAAAAAAAGCCAGCAAAACCAAGCAATCAACACAGACATGCAAAACTCACCACATTTCATCATTCCCACTTCATAACATTTCCGTAGCCGACACGCCTGGCAGCTTTTGCGCCTGTTTTTATCTATCGTGCACTGATTGGTAGCTGGGCAGATGTAATCATTATGTCCTGCAGAAGAGGAAGAGGAGTAAATTTAACATCTCCAACAGTCTCTCTGTCATTTCCCAAACCAGGACCTTCTTGGTTTTAAGCATCACAGCTTCTTCACATGCATCTATCTAAGCTCCGCTAATTTAACTGATGAAAAAATGTACGTTTTCTTTTACCGAAAACTTTGATTTGTGGCCTCAAAAAGTAACCAGGCACATACACCAGTTTTCAGTGATGACTGTTAGACAACTAAGCACCTTCTAATACCAACTCATTTATGAAAGTGAGACATACACTCTTGTGGAAAGTTGCTCCCAACCTCCAACTTCTTACTGGGGCTGATACAGGTGGTAGATAGTAAATTATTTTTTCCTCAGCAGAGTTGAAAACAGCAGTCAGTGCACACAGCTCTAGTCCTGCAAAGCTTTAGGTAAACTCTGGCTCTATTTAACTGCACTCTCTGACTTGGTGAGTTCCAGGAATGAAGAAGCCTTTGGAGGATTGACTCTGGATCAAAGTTAATTTAAAAAGCAGCTCAAGATAGAAAGAAGACTAGTTTAAAATGACTTGTACTGATTAGTACAAAGAAAAGCACAAGCAGAAGGTATAACTCATAGATAATCTGGACAAGTGTTTCTCTTACTATTACCAGTTTCCACTACAGCCTCTTCTGTTCTCTTCTCCTTTTCTCCCACCTCATGTCACCCCTACCCAAATTCCTTTACGTTATTGTATTTCATTAATCAGTAATCTGGTCCCAAAGTTTTATTACTGTAAACTGGGAGGTGCGCTAGGTGTAAATACAGTCAAATAACCTCCTGCCAAATACTGCAAAGGATGAAAAAAATATTCACTCATTTACAGTTCTTACTTCTCTCAGCTTGTGGGTTTTAAAGTTATTTTTTCAAGCTTTAAGAACAGATTAGGCAAAGATAGCATTACTAGAGGCTTTTTTTTTACTTGATGGAAGTCCAAGAGTTCATGTCTCCAAGAGTAACTGTTTAACTGAACCATTGTGACTATTTCTTTGCAAAATTAAAATAATTTTAACCTTGAATTTTTGAACTGGCAATTTTAAAAAGATCAGGTTACAGTTTGTCCCATTTCTTACTGGCAGATATAACTGAAAAACAAATTACTGTTTATCACTCTTCACACAACATGCGGGGTAAAGGAGGAAGAAGCTTTCTGTTGCACTATAACCCAAGCACACAGGAGTATAAATTGGTCTAAATCTCCTGCGACCTTGGGATAATTCAGCCTGCAGGCAGATGCTCAGGAATGTGGGACAAATACACTACAGTACAAACTTGGGCAAGCAGAGGAGACCACACACAGTTGCTCAGTCATACCATTTAATTTTAATTAGACATTGGCCCAATGTTTTGGTCTATAAGTAGGCCCAGAAGATTTTTGGTTTTATAAGCACTACCCCTCATAACAACAGCTACAACCGAGTGCTTGCTAGTGTTTTATGCCAAGAACTTACTTTCATTTACTTGAATTACAAGCAAACGTTACCTGACAGGGGACATGAAGACTTGTTCATGGCCAAAGCACATGTGAGCAACCCAGAGCAAGCAAATAATTTTCCTGACAGAAAACACTCTGAGATCAAATTCATTTGTGACAAATGGAAGACAAAGTTCTCTTCAATTATTTTAGAAATCGAAAGTACCTGCACTAGTGTATAGAAGTTGTTATTCATTCATGCAGAACTTGCACAATAAATTGAAAAGCCAAACAAGTTTTGAATTAAAATTGATACTAATGGTGACACCAACTCTGCCATATTGAGCCGAAACCCAAAAAACCTCAAGATTGCTAAAGGCTTTGTGTGCAGAAGAGGAAAGGAACATTATAAACTGAAAAATGACAGGATTTGCTGTTAGTATCTGCATGTAGTATCCAGTGTCAATCCAAGTAAGTTTCCACCAAGAGATGCCAAGCGAGGCCAAATAACATGTTAACTAGAGCTATGGTTCAAGAAATGAAGAGGTCCAAAGCTCCCATACAGTGCATAAATCACTGCCCATAGGCTATGATCACAAACATGGAGACCTACATTTACTTCATACTGCAGCCACTCAAGAAATTTGAACTAAATACCAAATACTTAAGGATTAAAACCCTGAAGTACAAATCTTGGAGAGATCTGGCAGTGGAAGAAATCCTGCAGTGTAGGCTTCTCAGGGGTGGTGGGCTGAGAAATAACAGAAATCATTTTTGTACCTAATAGTTGCTCCACATATTTTTATATCCTACATATTGTGTAGGTATCATGTGCTATGACTCAACAGCTCCAGGCAACACGCTCTAGTCAAGAATAGCTCCTGTCTAGCAAAGACTACAGATATTTACCTACTCTGTGTCTATTATAAAAAATTCACAATTACTGTATCTACTTTGGGACACAAACCGCAATCAGATTCACAGGTTTGCAGTGCCATCCCATTGAGGCTTTTGCTGCAGGACCTTCCCATGCTGTGTTTTCCACCTCTTCTCTAAAGAAATCAGTTGCTCACTTTGTAATGTTTCTTGATAACAGCCAAAAGATAAGTTATTTAAATCATGTGTTGCTGTTTTTCAGCTTGCAGCACCACATGCCAGGATTTTTGGTCAACTCATTACTAGATCAACCACTGCAACCCTGAAACAACATTTTTGAGCGAAGTTATCAAAAGCTGATAGTCCTACCTTGAATACTTCTTTTAAAGAATGCTTTGCAGCCTTCACATGACCAGACCCCATAGTGGTATCCTGAAGCATAGTCACTGCAGACTGCACAGAAGTGGGCATCCCGTTTTGAGCCAGGAGTATTTGCAATTGGGCTTGTACAGTCATTGCCATTAGTTTTTCTTTTCAACGTTTCTCTGACAGAAAAAAAAAAAATCTGTTACAAAAGAGGAAAAAATTAATCTACATTGCAAATAGTATCATTATTCTCCATTGTCGTCTATTCTCCCTCTATAAAGTCTTCTTATTACCGAACACAGGATAGTGTTTCACAGGATAAGCCTTTTTCTGCTATGGTTATTTAAAGCATAAAGTCTGATTCCCAGAGCTTTCAATGTTGAGAAACTATGAAGTTTTAAAATACTTACAGGCATGAAACTGGACTGCTGATGTGTTATTCACATGAACTCTGGGAAAAAAGGAATTTGCAAACCAAGTGGACTTTGCCTTTGGGAAGCTTTGCACAAAGTGTGAACTCAGACAGCTCAGTCAGACATGATAAATGCTACCACAAGCAGAGGAGCAATTGCTCTGTACTGTTTGCAAGGCAAAATTCTAGATGGAGCAATACACACATAACCAGTTTCAAGTACGTCATCCTTTAAATGAGGCTTTGTTCATTCAATGAGATGCTGGAGACAAATATCTTGAGATGTGAATCTCAGGCTACAAGATGAAGTCACAATGTTAGATGAAGCTTTCTGTTCAAAGTGACAACCCACAGTGATCACCCTAATGCCAAGTAAAAGGTAGTCTGAATACAAGAAGAATGGAAAAACACAATTAATAAAATACTTCCATACATCAAAAGAAAAAATGCTCCATATAAATTAGTAATACATATGCATTCCTAAAGTGTGCAAATAGTTACAACTTAATGGAACTATTCTTAGCAACTGGATTAAAATTGGAACAGGATAGACACATGAAATAACAGCCAATTCCTGACAACAAGATCCTGTAAAAAAACAACAGAGGAAAGGAACTTAGATTACCAGTGGAGAGGTTTTTATTTATAGGAAGCACATCCACTGTACTTTTTTATCAGGGCCTCATTTTCTTGGTGGTTTTGGCATGTTTTACCTTTGCAGAACCATAGCATTATTGAGGTTGGAAAAGACATTTAAGATCCTAAAATCCAATAGTAAATGGCTCCAAGACAAAGAGAAAATAGTGTCATATGCAAATGCACAGTAGCAGTTTGACAAAAGAAACCTGAGAATCAATTTTTTGGTATAAACTTAAACACAGAGGCAGAAGTTAGAAACTGTAGAATTTTTCGCATCCCAACTTCCAGATGGTTTATGAAAGAGAAGAAATGTAAGTTTGGATAAGACAGCAGGGAGCATGGTTTATGACTTCTAAAGCACATTGCCAAGGCAGAAGAAACCTATTCACTAACAAGAGCAAGTTTAAACAGAGCAGTAGAAACACGCTGAAAATGCTATCAAAGAGACTTTAACTAACATAGACTTTGTGCTGGATTCATGAGAGAAGATAAGGACAAACACACCCATGTGCCAAATAAATATCACCAAGTTTATAAGTATTTGAGGAGAATGTGCTCGATTTCCTAGTAGAAAGTCTGGAAAAGAAGAAAGGTGGTTCTCTGAGCAAATTCCAAACAGAAAAAATACGGTATTTGTTGTTTCATTAAGTTACTGCAAGCTTTTAAATAATGTTCCTTCATGTTCCCTGTCTTTGACTACACACAGAGCCCTGTTAATGGATTGTTGAATCACTAATTATTTCCCCTTCTGCCATGCTAGGAAGACTAGTGTGGGGAACTCCCCTTAGAATAAAGGGACTGTATCACACACACCTAATATGCTGTTAATGCAAGGAGGAAAAAGCATTGTTATTCCTTTCTGTTTCCTTGTATTTGGAAGAAAAAGTAATTCAGCATTTCACACTAGCAAATGAGGTATGTTTTTAAGCTCTGCTTGGAAATCATGATCCAACCATGAGAGCCAGAAAATCAAAATTATCTGGAGAGTACCTCAGCGACTGATTGATATGCTGTAGAGAGCAATGATTATTGCCACTGTTAAAGCATCAAGATGTTATGGATGAAAATAAAGAAAAAGCACACACTGCAACATCTCACTGAGGAGTGTTACTTTCCACCTTCCAGTCATGACAATTGTTTTAAAAACACTTTTTCTTTCCCTGCCTAAAAGTTTAACGACAGTCACCCTGCACATATGCAAGCTGTGTGACTTCCACAGGTTATGGCACACAGCTTGCACACAAAGCAACAATCTGGAGTGAATTCCTCCTGCAGGCCAAACGAGCATCAAATCTACTCATCTCTGATAGCTGCAGCAGCACAGCAGGAGGTTCAAACCCAGTCATTTTGTTACTGTTGTCTTTATGGGCAACAGAACTAGCAAATAGATGAGAGCTTTAAGGTACACATTCTTTACCCTAGGAAGCGTACAATCAAACAGTGTATCCACACAACAGTGAACCGGAGCAGGTTAGAGATCAGTTCCCTGGGAGGTGCTCCTGGGACTGTCACACTCCAGTATGCTCAGGAGATGACTGAGTTGCCAGGTCCTCCAGAATAACTGGCCATAGCTGGCTGGATGCCCACAAAGCTCCTGCGCCAAAGGATGCAGGGCAATGGGGGATGTTCCCTGGCTGCTTCCGAGGAACCACATACGTTTGCTTTACACCTCCTAATACTCCTCTCTATTTTATGATCATGGTTTCTATATAGAGATGTGACATTTCCATAAAAACAATAAAGAATTTTTTTAAAGTAACAGGTCAGTGATTTCCTACTAGTCATCAACAGTGGCAGGATGATTACCCTAAAGGAGAAGGGATTAGCAAGACCATTTATGTTATTCAGTATCTATCATGTCTCCTGATTACCTCTAGCTTTGCCACAAGTGTTTTGTGCGTGCCATACCTGGAAAACTTGAACATAAATCCAACATATTATTAAAAATGGAAAAGGATGACAAGGATTTGACCCAGAAAGTAGCTACATTTGCTCACGGCATTTGTTGCCTGCCAGTTTTTTAAAAAACTTAAACTACTCTATAGCATAAAACGAAAGAGAGAAAGAAAAAAAAAAACAACCAAACCACTGAGAAAAAACATTTCTAACTTAAAAATTTCTCATTCAGTGCCTGAAGATAATCCAAACTCATACCAGCCAAAGCCGTAGGACTGAAGAAGGCTTTTCCCTTCTCCCAGAATGTGTCAGATGATAGGTAAAAACAGCTGAAGAATACTTTTCATTCTTTATCTTCCTCGTTTTCTAGAGACTCCCCCCAATATAACTTCTAGAATTGTTAATACCACACAACTGTCAGTATTTATCTCTCCAAAGCACAAGTTCTGCTATGCTCCAAATATTATTATGCTGAAAATCAGGACATAGATATCTCAAAATTAAGAGACATTTTTCCTCAATCTCTGTAACTATTCCACTATAAAAGAGATGCCAATCCATCACCTCAAAGACACTTCAAGATACTTTCAACTGCTTCTACAGAATGAACACAATTTAAAAAAAGAGGCATAAGAGAATAACGCAAATAATTATGGCTTCAGACCAAAGTTTAAGCAAAATAAAATATGAGCGCATAGGGAACAAGACAAAGTTATTAAATAATTCTAAGTAAGCAAGTATTACTAGCCTATGTACCCAAACCCCTTTACTTACACACTGTAGCTGCAATTGATCAGAAGCACAAGAAAAATAATAGGAAAAAAGAACAAATTAAGTTCCAGAAATATCACACCAGCAACTTCATTAAAGTTTCCTAATGCTTTTTAGAAAGCAATCTTTCTTTTCATTTTGAATATAAACTTTTGATTTCTTTAATTAAAACCTTTTGTTTAGAGGACAAAGGCAGAAATAAATTTCAGTGTAATTATATTTTAAAGTAGTCTGTCACATTCCTTTTATCTTCACGACTATTTTTATAAGAAATACAATTCATTTTTGCTGAACTATTGGTGCAAAGTAACACTACACTGTATAACATTTGCATTCACAAAGTTAAATACATTCCTTTTGAATTCATGTAATGCACCTATTTGTGAGAAGAGGAACCTGAATTCACAGCATTCCCTTATTTTAAGCTCATGTACAAGGAGATCCAAATTACACAGTGATCAGTTTTAGCAAAGTAGATCACATTAGTTTAGCTAACATTAACAGAATTTTACACCCAGGGAAAATACTCTCCACTCACTGTGAGACTCTTGCTTCATTTTGAAAGGTAAAATGAACTGTGTAACAGACTTAAATACGTAGCAATGCTTTCTTACTCATTTTTTAAACAAAATCCCTTTTCTCAAACTACAACACTTTAAAAATTACATTTTACAGCCTTAGTCTCTCCCTTCTCACAGAGCTATTCCTTTAAGTTTCAATCCCAAGAACCCTTCCTTTAAGGTATAACCTACAAATCTCTAGTGTCACAGTCATTGTTCCCGTGATAATAAATATAGTGTTCATGACATTAATTTAAGATGTCACCAAGGGGTAAAGCAAAAGGAAACACAGGGTTTTTGGTTTTTTCTTTACAGCTTTATTTCAGAACAGATATCCCCAATAACGGAAATACAGCTCTTGCTTTTTGTGTTTCCATGTCAAATTAATATTTTTTCTTTTTTTACAACTTCTGTACACACATGGGAGATGAAAATGCATCATGCTGAGACAAATGAAGCCCTGAGAAGGTCCAGCTACCAAGCAACACAGTAGTTACTTGCTGCTGAACAACAAAGATCATTCATAGATCATTCCTAAATTTAGACTCTAGACTTCATTGATTTCTCCTCTTAGTTAGGTCAGCATCACCTACAAGTGTAGTCCATATGGATCTTTACAATTGGCAGAAAACTTACTTAAGCTCCAGTGTGACAGGTTTGGCTTCCCTTCTGCCTATTCAGAGAGCACACTGTAGAGCATCAGATGATGTGCTCTTGCTCCCGGGTTTTCCCAGCTGCTGTCCCATCATCCGGACTGCTTCAAACATTAACCTACCACAGCCTTCCCAGGGCTGACAAAGTTTTGACATATTAATGCAAGCGGGACGAGTGCAGATGTTAGCCCTGTTTGCATTAGACCTGCTAGGGGAATTCTTATGGAAGTGCTACCATAACGGCCCCTCCCAGTTCACACGCCTGCACTTCAAGTAGTTGCACTGCAGAACTGCCTGCTACTCTCTGCTGACTCCAAATACAGAATAGTCAGGTGACCAGGCTTAAGATATGTGCAGCCTACAAGTCAGAAGTAGAATAGATCTCACGCCTGAGCCCTGTGCAGACAATGTAAGGCCCACCCATTGCAGAAGGAAAGTGGGTAGTCACAAAAATAGCACCAATCTTTTATTACAAATTGAACTAAAACTGTTGCCAGAACACACTATTTTTCATACTCACAATGACTGCTGAAGTTAAATAGGAGCCCTCTGAATAAACACACAGCTGCTAAAACAGGAGCAGCACCCCCAACACCCTGAGATTTTATCCATCCAATAGCTGTTGCGCCAATGAATAGAGTTCATCTACTGATGATCTACACATGGCTTATGGTTCGTAATATGAATAAATGTGCAGAATGGGAACATGTTTTTGCAAATACATTTTCTTTACAGCTTAAAAATTAGGCTATGAATCTGCTGTTCTCAATGCCTTTATAAAGTCAGTTGAGAAGAGCAACAAGAAAGTGTCAGAATTTTTCAGTAGCAGTATCACTTTGAATGTGGTGCATGCTACTGCGGGACTGTTAATACGAAAACCAAAATAAATCAAGAAAACATTTCCCTTGAATTGTAAGTTCATGAAAAGCCTTCAGAACTATTAGATTCAGTAAAAAAAAATCCAGATAAAATGAAATACAAACAACATTGTATGGAAAGGAAAAAAGAATGAATCTTTACTTCTTTCACTCAAAGGACTTCTTAATTTGCCAGAGCAAAAGTCATTTTTATAACACAAATTAGTACCTAGTAGTCTTGAACTTTTGTTTGGTGTGCAGTTGTCTAAGGAGCTATTGAAAAAAAAATAATCCAATTTCAGCAGTTCCATGTAAAAAAGCCTACAAAACCCAGGTCTGATTTGGTATTTGGTGGAGGGTTTATTTTGTATTGTTTTTCAGAGAGACCAGCACAGAGAAGTCAAATGTAAAAAGAAAAGACTTAAAAGAACTAAAGAAAAAGTAAATACTTTTCAGCAAAGTTTTAAGGAAGTGAGTAGTACTGACCTGGTCACAGGTAGAAGAGGCTCCATTGGTCTTGCTTCGCACCATGGACTCTTCGGTTGCTCTGCATACAGAAGCGATGACTGACAGTGTAGCGTTAGAGGGGAGCGATGGCTGGGAGCAGACCAGAACACACTGGGGCTTGACGTTTGCCTTGTGGATGCAGTCTCCGAATCACCAAAATTGCTGGAAATGTTGTAATTCATCATAGCAGGACTGCAGAACGCCATTGCAGAATATTCATGTCTGCTTTCCATGTAAGATGAGGGAATATAGACTGGACTGTGTTCTGCTGTCAGTGTGGACTGATTACAACTGTAGGGAACTGAAGAGACGATGCTAGCAGGTGAGTTTTTAATTTCTGTCTTACTGCCTTCAATATCCTGAAGTGGCAGCAACTGAGAAAAATCCTTGTGAGAGGATGCACACAGGGACATTTTGAAGCAAGACTGAAGACTGCTGTTTAAATATTCATCCTAAGGTGGGAAGGTATAAAAATTTGAATTAAAAAGTAAGAAAGTACTGTATTAAGTCTTTTCTATAAAAGACAAAAAAAGGAATCATTAAATGAGAAAATATAAAAAGATCCTGTTAAAACAGATTACATACCAAATGCACTAAAACAGTCAATGTGTACAAATCTACTACCTTTAAGAAAAAGAAAGCTTTCTAGAACTTCCTTAAAAATAAAGGCTAAGAAGCATGTTAAGCTTAGACTCCCTTATAAAATGAAAACAAAACAAAATGAATCACTTGAAGTGTGAAACAAAGATGCAGGTGACAACTTGGATCTTAACACAAGTAGCTTGTTACAGCCAGGATAAAACTGCTCTATGTCAGAGGCAAAATTACCCTGTGTTCCACAACTATGGGGTGAGTGCCCTGAGAAATCAATTCTCTTTATAAGAACTCATTACCTCCTGCTCTCACTATAAGTGTACTGCTTCAGCCTTCCCTTTATCAACATGAACATATAACAGCAGATATTTTAAAAACACACAAACACACCCCCATCTCCTTACAAACCCAGAATTCCACTGCACATGCCTCATCACAAAGGAGGAAGACATGTAACGGATGTCAGTAAGCAATGCAACTTCATCACTGAGAGGTCCCTGAATATGGCACCTCTGAACAGAGCCATTATAAATGCAGAAACTGCAAAATGCTGATTTCCAAAGCTGACAACACAGAACTTGCGTGATTTCACAAGGTCTGGAAGTTATATGATTTCCTGCCACTCTCCATCTGCATCTCAACTACTCTCCATCCTTCCTCCCATCTGAATCAGCTATCAAAACAGACACCTTAATTTGCTCACAGCAAATAATCTTTGCCAGATTTATGTACATCCAAATTATTTAAGGGAGAAAAAAAACAAAAATAAAAAGAAGAGCTGATAAAAAGCATGCTCCTAATACATAGCCCCTGTCTCGGAAGTGTTAGTTTTACAGTAGCATTTAAAAATATTTCTTATTTATTTTTCAGTAAGGGTTTCATCTGCAGTTCATTTCAGCTTTGAAGACAGACATGCAGCCCTCCCACAGCTTGCAATCCAAAACAATTCTATTTCCAAAACAGAAAATTCCAGCCCCCAGAACTGATATTGTAGTGTACTTTTACAGATGGTAGTAAGATCTTAACAAGAAAAATCACAGGATAATTTAAAAGACACCCACAGCTTAGTTAATTCCAGAAGTGGCCAGTGTATTGATGCTAAATATTCTTACCTTTTTCCACCTCCCATGACCATAAAGCAAGATGAGGAAGATTAAACCACAGGTTTGCTGAAGTACCAGCAATCTCCCTGTCCCAAAAAAATTTTCAGCCAGATGCAATTCCTAGTATGCCATCTTGGGTCATTGACACATTTTTCTTCTCTAAGGCCAGGATTGAGGGTAGAAGCATTAACAAAACATGTAAGAAATAGTATTTTTGAATAAAGTGTATAGTTTACTGTCCATCCTTCCTTCTTACTTTGCATTCTGTCGATGAAACTGAAGGTATCTATCTGTAGAAATAACCAGGAACACGCCTAAATCAGTTAAGGCACTTCAGACCCAGCTGCTGTTTTTTCCTTTGTGGGAAACAGGAAAACGAGATATCTCAGCAGCTGTTTATGTCCAGCAGTTGTTGGACTGGAACTCCAATGCAAAGGAGGAGAATTTGACCTCACTCCTCACACAATCTGCATGCTTCATTTGCTCCAGCCAGATGCTTCACTAAAAGAAACCAATCATCTTTCAATTTTCACTGCAAAAAGCACTGAAAATCTCAAAGGCGCTTTCACTCCACCATAATGGTGGGGTAGCCCAAATAATTTTTAAGCAGCAAACAATGGAACTAAGAAATGATCCTAAAACTATTTTCAGTGGTTACTATGAATGGGCCCAGTGAGCACACTGAATTCAAAATACATTTAAAGGTTCTGCATGGGTAAAGCTGTATACCATTTGCAGTCTTAGAGGTTGTGTGTATTGAAGTGCATGTGGACACTGCAGGAGCATCTGGAGTGTCCAGCAAGAGCTGACTGTGCCAACTGCATCCCTCTGCCCCCCTTGAAAGGGCACACAGTGCAGGGTAACCCCAAGCCCTTTGGAGGGAAGGACTAGAACAGGACATCTCTGTTCTAGTCAGCTAGAGACATTCCTGTGATACTACAACAGTTCTTGTGGCAGGCAACTGGTTGCATATTTTCCCTCAGACATTTGGAAATTGTATGCATGTAAGCTGTAGAAGCAGAGAGAACACAGAGCTGGTACTGCACAATCTTATGAACTGAAATCAGCAGGGATTTAGGTCATATTTTTCTATAGAGGTAATGCACTAATGTGGTATGCAGGATAACTGTGTGTTTAGCAGGACATACTGTCTCCAAAGCACTACATAAAGGATTTAGAAACATACACAGAAGTTACGAGAAGCAAGAGTGGAGTTTGTATTAGAGGGAGGAGCTGAGGCGAGCATGAAGTCAGTACAGCCTTCCTCAAAAACAGGTTGCTCATGCATGAGTTATTTACAAGAGAAGGGACCATGGGTTCCAGGAGGTTAAAGAAAACTGTACTTATGGTCTTCAGCAGACTGCAATATAGTGAAAAAAATAACAGCATTATCTTAAGATAATTAACTTGGGTAGAAGAAATAGTTTAGCCCCAGTAGAGCATGGATCTGCATGAGATCAAGTTGTTCTCATTTCCTCATACCCACACAACGTAGCATGGGAAGCCCAGAGCCTCACAAGTAAAGTGAGACTGCTGAATTTATACAGTATTACTCAGAAGGTCCTAAAAATTGACTGATGGACTGTGAAGTTCTATGCCTTAAAGAAGGACTGCAGATTGAGGTAACCGGATCTTAATACTTAAGGCTCCTCCAACACCAATACCTCAGAAGAAAGCATAACCACATTTGAGCCAAGGATTACAATAAGTAGTGCAACAGGGTAATAAATGTGTTCCATCCTGGTACACCATCCTCATATTTTAAGCACCATTCATTAAACAGAAATTAACTTCTTCACAAAGTGAACTCCTGTCCCAACACCCTCTTTTTCTCTGAAGAAAGATTTTTTAAAAGCAAGATTCAACTGTAAAGATAAAACTATTTAGATCTACTCTATCAGCACTGCACTAGATCTGTAACAGACATAGAAACAAAAGAGGTACCTGTTATCTTTATGCTACAGTCTTCTGGGAGTCTGCAAATGTTTCAATCCAATTAAGTCAGCTTGGCTTAGCGGGACACTCAACAACCAAAATGCCATTATTAAGTAAATAGCCATTCTGTCCAGTTCCTTGAGTAACACTTACCATTCACAAATCTAAGACACCATGGGCAGGGTTCACATCTGGCATAGGAAAAAACAGTTCCATTGGCTCTAGTACCCAGAGGCTGATACCACTATCCGTAAGGATGCAAGAAAAAGAAAAAGTGATGTTATCAGTGTTCTCCACAACACAAAACAAAACAAAAAACTTTGTCTTTAGGTCTGCATACTGAACTCAATGCATCTTGAGAGTCACCATACAAGACACACCAGATCAGACACAAGAGCTGGTTTAGATGTCATAGTCAAACAGACACATGGGTAAATAATTAAGCCATCTGACCTATTTGAACAAACCCAAAAGCTAGTTATTGCACATTACCTACACCAAGTATCTTTTTAAAAGCCTTGAATGAAATAACCAATTTAAGTTTTTTAATTTTGGAAAGGGGAAAATATAGGTAGAGAGGGCAGGCTGCCATGTTTTAGAGCCTACTTGCAAATGTATAAATACAATAACTTTTCCTAGAGAAATGCAACACTGAAAAAAGCAAGAGAATGACGTATGTGCTCAGCACCCTTCCATCAAAATACACTACAACATGCTTAGAATTTTCTAGGCAAGTCATTTATTTGAGTAGACTTTTTTCCAATAGAGAATTAAGATGACCTATTCCTCTGTTAGGCTTAGATTAAAGTGCAATCGTTCTTCCTTTCATTTTAATACACACTCTACTGCCCCATAGCCTAGGCCCGTCAGTCATCTTGTAAAGCATTCTATTAATATTCTGCTAAGTTACATTTTACACAACTCTTTGCAACAATGAACTGAATCATTTTCTCATTTGATCATTAAAGGAAAGTCATTCCTGCTGCATAACATGGCACATGTGCTTCAAGTTTTGTGAAAAACTTATTACTCATTAAACACAGCAGTGCCACATACTGCCAACAGAAGGCATATAAGTAAACAAGTTTATTATTACCTGAGAAGGACTAGATGCAACAAATAGGGGACAGATAAGGAAGCAAAACGAAAACAAAGCTATCTGTCCAGACCTCAGATATTGTACTCATGCCAACAAAATGAATAGCCTGTTCTCAATGGTCAAAGGCAAAAAGACCTCTTCTCAGGAAAATGCATCAGGAGAAGGTTTTGGGGAGACCTTGGAGCCACCTTCCAGTACCTAAAGTGGCCTACAAGAAATCCAGAGAGGGGCTTTTTTCAAGAGCAAGTAGCAATGGGACAAGGCGGAATGGCTTTAAACTGGAAAAAGATAGATTTAGATTAGATATTAGGAAGAAATTCTTCACTGCAAGGGTGGCAAGACACTGGAACAGGTTGACCACAGAAGCTACGCATTCCCCATCCCTGGAAGCATTCAAGGCCAGGTTGGATGTGCTTTAAGGAAATCTGCTTTATTGGAAGGTGTCCCTGTCCGTGGCAGGGGGGTTGGAACTGGATGATTTTCAAGGTTCCTTCCAAGCCATTCTATGATTCTATGAAAATACTGCAGATTAAAAGCACACAGGCAAGAACACTTTGAAACAATTAAGCAAAATAAGCATCTCATTGGCCTGTCTTAGTCCTACTGAGGACACTGGCAACTTCTAGGTTATTTTAAACATTTATAAATATATATCAGGGCTCAGTACATGACATACACAGAGGCACCAAGGGAACTTGGTTTGTACCACCAGAGGAATACAAAGGGGTTCTAAGTGCAAGCGGAGTTAGAAAGACAACAAAGCCAGACTCTTCAGAAAAAGTGCACAAGCCAGGACAAGAGGTTACAGTCACAAGTCAGCACAAGGGACATTCCAGTGGATATATGAAAAAATTCTCAACAGTGAAAGTTAAGTACAGGAACAGGATACCCAGAAAAGGCTGTGAAATCTCCATCTTTAGAGACAGTAAGAAAACCCCACTGGATTGAAAAAGGCCCTGACCAACCTGATCTCTCTTTGAGCAGGATGCTGGAATACTTGCTCTCCAAATGTCCCTTCCCAACTTCCCACTACTGGAAATAATCATAACAGAGGAAATTCCATTTTACCTGTACTGGAAAGAATGAAGCGTATCAAAGGGTCATGGACACTGGCCACCTTGTCAACTTTGTTCAAGAAGGTAAGAGCTGTGGGTTCCGTCAAAAGACAACCAGCTTTTAAAACTTCGTGGTACATTACAATAGCTGTCTTGCATATACTGTAATGGGATTAGTTCACTAGAAGGTAAGCCTAGCACTGGGGAAGAATTTTGATCTCAGTTCCAACTAGAGTTAAGATTGTAGTGGTTTCTATACTTTCAATTGGTAGACCCTTAAAATGCTATCAGATCTCAGAATGGATTTAAGCAAGATTTGCATTTTTAACTACGTTTCACAAACTTGGGATTCAGACAAATGGAAAGCCACTATCCTGCTAAAATACACAAACTCAAGCTGAGAAAATTCAGCTCCTTTACTCTCCATGTCATTACTTCAAAGTACAGCATGGACATGCAATATGTATTCAAACAAAAAGAATATTTGAATTTCAGTGCAAAAATTTTAGCATGCTCCATTAGAAAATAAATATTTATTACAACTATTACACAAGTAACAATTACAAGGATCTCAGGATTCTGTAATCATGCTTCAATCCACAGCAGTACCATGGCAGAAGCCAGTTTATAGAATATCCCCCTTGTCCAATAAAAACTTTCAATAATGAAGAAAGCATCTCCCTCTGATGCATGGAAGGGCAGGGATCCAGGAGGAATTGCCACCTTCAATCACTATTTCTCCCTTACTGACTGTACCCTCGGATAAGCATATGGGAGCCTTCCAGCCTTCTTCCACACCGTTACTTTCTAGTCATTAGCAAAGCTTGTATTCATAGAATCATCACAGAATGGTTTGGGTCAGAAGGGACCTTAAAGATCATCTAGTTCTACCCACTAGAGCAGGTTGCTCAAAGCCCCATCCAACCTGGCCTTGAACACTTCCAGGGATGGGGCAGCCCCAGCTCCTCAGGGCAACCTGCTCCAGCATCTCACCACCTTTACAGTGAAGAAATTCCTCCTAATATCTAATCTAAATCTATTATCTTCCAGTTTAAAGCCATTACCCCCTGTCTTATCTCTACAGGCCCTTGTAAAATATCCTTCTCTGGATTTCTTACAGGCTTTCTTTAGATACTGGAAGCTGGTCTAAGGTCTCCCTGGAGCCTTCTCCAGGTTGAACAACACCAGGTTGAACAACTCCCGCTCTCTCAGCCTTTCTTCGTAGGAGAGGTTCTTCAGCCCTCTTATCACCTTTGTGACCTTCCTCTGGACTTGCTCCAACAGGTCCATGTCTCTCTAATGTTGGGAGCCTCAGAGCTGAACACAATACTCCAGATTGGGTCTCATGACAGTGGGGTAGGGGGAAGAACCACCTGCCTCAACCT